GTGGGTGGGAGAGCCGCGGCCCCACCTGGGAAGTAAGATCCCGAGGGCCCCTCACAACACGGGGGGCAGCTCGGGGCGTCTCGAACAGTTGATAAAGTCGTGATTTCAGTTACATCTTTACAAACTGAAAGGAGGCGGATCCCTGTTCGGCTGGAGCTTTGTGTGTACACTAAGGGTATGCCGGAGGTGACCCATCCCTTGGTAGCAGGTGACAACCGAAACTCCACTGGGAAGGTTAACATCAGAAACTGCTTTTTCTCGGTTTTATAGACCATCGAGATTGGTTTTGAGTCAAAATTCAGTGCCTAATAGATGATGATAAATAAAGTAGACTGGCTAAGCCCACTTTTATTCAACTGGCAAAACCCTTTTCAAAGTATAAAGAGCAGAAAAGCGCTTCCTTTGGTACAAGAAATGGATTATAGGGCATTTTAATGTCTTCCCAAGGCTTCCCCAGGCGCTGGAATTGATTACATATGGGGAGAGAATGTCCTGGGATTTAGCTTATAGATCAGGGGAGGCGAAGGGTGACTCTTTTCTTCTACATAATACACTTAATTTTTTTTCGAAGGAATTTAAAAGAGTAGCAACTGTAGAAATATAAGATTCTATCCCATTTCTGCCTGACCCTGGGTCATTTTTCTATATGAATTGTGTTTTCTTTCTCTGAATCTCCATCTTTTCCCTTTTCTTACCAAAAAAACAAACAAAAAACAAACAAACAAAAAAACTTTTCATAGGTAATAAATTTTTCAAAACGTTATTCCTTATAAATTATGCAGAATGAATTTAAATAATCGCCAGATCACACACTTATGAGACACATGGGCATGTGTATGTATGGGGGGGGTGTGAATGTATGCACACACCAGAAACTGAGCAATTCAAGGCTAAGATTGTGCTTTTACTTCACTGTCATTCAACATCATTTAGCAATTATTTTTTTAAATATTTCTACAAAAGCTCCTATTACTGGGATCCATTTACTAACCGTAACTCTATGCTGCTTTATAATTTCATTTTCAAACCAAGATTTCTGTCCACATGTGAGTTTCTTGCTGTCATTTTCCTTTCCTTCTCCAAACAAAGCCTTGCAAATATAGTCACACACGGTAATAGCGTTCAGTCTCAAAGCAGCAGGAGGCTGTGTTCTGAGCTACAAAATGTAGCAGGCGAAACCTTTCTAGGTTGTGTATGTCACCGCTTGTTTTACAAAAGAGCAGGTAACATTGCTGAATAAAAAGCCTTGGCATTGCTTCTGTGACCAAGGTAGAGGAGACAAAGACTGTAATCCACAGCACTTGATTACAGGAAATTAATTTCCTCCGAAGAAAAACAGAACCGATGGCAGGAACCCTGTCACCACCTGACAAACCAGGGGCGGCATTTTCTCTTGCAAATACAGTCGTCTTTGCCAAAGTCTGCCAATTAGCTCAGCTGCTAACTTTCACTAAATGACAACTTTCTACCTGCTCGTTTGGAGGAGTATTCCTTCACCACCGTGTCCCAAGAGCTGAAAAGGAGATTTTAACTTAAATGGTACCTAAATCTCTTCTCCCCACCAGGTGGGATGCTTTCATTTTAAACACATGTTCATAATTATCTCACTTTGTCTACCTGTCAGAAAAGAATGGGGAGAATGGAGGTAAAGTCCTGTTCATATAGCTCATGTAAGTCTCGAGAGTTTTAATGGAATGCTGGGTTTAAATAGTTTATACTAAGAATATATATGTACATGTTCTCCAGTTAGGAGTTATTATCATAAGTGGACTATCTTATTCAAGAATTTTAATCTTATTTTATTTGCNGAGTTATTATCATAAGTGGACTATCTTATTCAAGAATTTTAATCTTATTTTATTTGCTTAAATATTTCTGATATGTTTTCACAGCAATGGTATAAGTAGCATGTCAACCATTTGAGGTTAAAACTAAAGTAAGATTGTAAAGACCAAAGAAAAGGCTCAAATGCTTCAATTTTGCCATATAGCAGTTTGATAAACACCTCCTATTTAAGGAAAATACTTGTATTTTTTGCAACTCCAGACAAAATGTTGATTAAGCCACATGCAGGCCTAAAAACGGCTCTGTAAGCCATATGTACATAAAGATGCTAAATATCATGTTTTTTGAATAACCTATTAAAAAAAACACCCAAAACTCAAGGAAGAAAGATTTGTATTCTTTTCTCCCCCTAATTAACATTAAGAAATTAATACTCACCACATCTATGATTATAGGCCTATTTGGAATATGCAGTTGCTTTTATGTCTAGTTGATTATTTAATAACTTTTTTTCTGTTTATGCTTCAAATCTGAAAGCTAAGTGATATTTTTCTTAACTTTTGTGCTAAGATCAGAAGTGTTAATAATAATAAAGGATTGGCTAGCCCACTAAAGTGTTAATGAGACATCTCTCCTAGATGTGCAATAAAAAGCTAGAGAAATTTACATATATTCATGAATTATAAATGCAGCTTCACTTATTGATTGTCATTAATGGTTTATTTTGATGATCACTGAAAAATGTATGAGGAAATTTTATAGTAATTTAAATGTAGAGATTAGTATAAATGGCTAAAAAAATTATGCCTTCTCACATAATTTGGTTAAAAATGTTACATAACAAAGAAACATAGTCATCTTTTAACCATATATGACAATGTGAAAAAAATGAATTTAAACAGGGAAATCCATAAATAATTTTTATATGTCATGGACTTGTGAATTTTGCATTCCCTTTAAACTCCATAATAAACTAAATCAATACATTTTAGATAATTAAAGCAATCTACATTTTTTTCCCCTAGCAGTGCTAAAAAACAAAGGAACTACAATTTACTTTCACCCCATTACCCTTTCTTTGACCCAACACGTGATNNGTCAGGGCACATGCCCGGGTTGCGGGCTCGATCAATGACTCTCATCATTGATGTTTCTATCTCTTTCTCCCTCTCCTTTCCTCTCTCTGAAATCAATAAAGATATAAATATATTTTTTAAAAAAATAATAAAGGAGGGGAGCTAAAAGAATGGCATTCATACAAATTAGCAATAAGTCCTTGAATGGTCAAAGTTGACTGATTTGTAGGTAAAACTAAGCAAATGTAGTCCAATTCATTATATCAGGCCCAAAAGCAAAAAGAGCCCAGGACAATGGAAAACTTCAGCAGGATTGATGATGGGCAGGCAGATAACTACTACTCAGTGTGACTAGGAATAGGCAAGTATTCGCAGTGGTGGCACATATATTTTGATTAGAGGCTAGGGCACTAGCAAAAAAAAAAAAAGTAGATGAAATATTCTAAGCATTTAGTTCCATTTATGTCTTCTATTTCAATAATTCTATTCACATAGTGAGGTCATGAATTACACACAATTTATGTGAACACTGTAACTATAGATTATTTTACTTATTAGAGGTTTCCCTCCTAATTCTGCCTATCTCTGTTTTACAGAAGGATGCCCAACATCACGTACCCCTAAAAGTCCCCTGGAAGGGTGTGTTACTGCTGTGTCTATTACTTGTGGGGAAAGCACGTATGAACACCTTACTGACCATATGAAGACTCGATTGTTGCTGGTATTTTTCCAGCATTATTGCCTGAATGAGTCAGAAGCTGTTCACTGTACTGGCAAGGACAAAGAACTGTCACAGGGACTTAACCTTTTTNTTATTGCCTGAATGAGTCAGAAGCTGTTCACTGTACTGGCAAGGACAAAGTCACAGGGACTTAACCTTTTCCACATAAGCCACTTTTTCAGCCAGATGGTTATGGAAATATTCCTGGGACCCTTGGACAGACAGTGTTCTCTTAAAGAACAGAGGAGAATGATTTTTAATTCTATTGCTCTTACTCTGCCTCTCTCTCAAATATTTGGCAAGATCTGATGGTTTCTAGAAGTTTTTCACTTGGTCTGCTTTGGCCCAGATTTATTGAGAAGGCTCTATGCTAGCTCTATGAATTTGGTTGTTTTCCGTTGTCTAATTAATACTGTGATTACTTAGGCAGACATAGCCTTTCCAGTGTTAGGATAGTCATTGACATATCTCCATATTATGCCCTAACACAGTTTATTCACATCGGATAATAATTCACGGTGGAAAATGCACAGTAAGTGCAAGACATATCCCAGTGCCTTAGCATATAAAAATCATAATAAATGTATATGTTGCTTTGCATAAAAGAATTAAAGGTGAAATATTTAAAATTTTAACTTATCCTTAAATTTGCTGAGATAGTTA